AAAGGACATCATTTTGCAATATTTTTTCAATCACATAAACTTGAAAGCTACACACTACAACCATAAATATTGTAGATTGTTTGATTTGTACAAAGACGATGAAGTGACCAATTTTTTATGTATATTCTCACATATTATATACACAAATCAAACATCAAAGAGTGCATTGGGGCAAAGTTGTTGCCCTATGGCATTTTTATCATAATAAAGAACTTCCTTGCGAGGTTCATATAATATTTACATGTAGTCATTGCATTAGGCAATCATGAACTAATATAAAAAGTATAATGGTTGCAAATACAATCAAACTTGGGGTAGATCAATGTTGGATCAGAGGCCATATATTTTTGAAGTATATACTATAAACAAAGTTCATTATTAAATTAGTAAATATGTGACTAGTTCTCAACTTTATAAAGTTTTATCTCCTGTTTGCTTGTTATCTCGGGAGTTCAAGTAACAATAACAAAAGTACTTCTATACTTGAAATTACCAATACATGAGATTTCTACTCAAAACATATTAAAAAAAACTCATAATTGTTTACAATAGTTGCAAATCTAATATTGCTTCTAAATATAAAATCCATAGTTAATTTTTCTTCTATGTAAGTTGATTTGAATTTTGACTAAACATAAGTACTACTGCAAAGAAGATGTCCTTGCTTTGCCATCACCATATTGTGTATCATAAGTAACCTACCAAAGAATGTCCACTTCTTTGAGTTGAATATTAGTTTCACAATGCATGATTGATTTGGTTTCTTATTGGCAGAAGCAATGAATACACATTTGCTGAATTCCACATAAAATATTCAAGCTCTGGCTACAATACAACAAGGTTAAATGCATAGTTAGGATCTTAGTCTATGAATGCAATTTTACTAGCCTTACAAACAAATGCTTGATGGCACAACTTTCTTATTTGTGTTGATGTTTGTACATGAACAGTTATTTCATGAAACCCCACTCCTGATCATCTATTATTGACACAACATTGCATATTCCACTGAAGTACATAGGAGGACCAGAATAATTTGAAGATATTGTTCCCTACAAAACATCTCAGGCCTCACTTGGCTGGTCCATGCCTGCCCTGCTTACATGTGTGCTGTCAACAATGAAGTACCAACATGCATGTCCAACATGTGACATTTGGAGCCAACATTGCCATGAACTTCTCTATGGACCACATTCCTCTGCACTCACACCCAGAAGATTATCTCTCTTATTCTCCATCTCCTTGTTTAATACTTTCTTTTCTTCTCGCTCTTTTGTTTTCTGTCTTTAGTTGCTGAGTATTTTGTGATTCCTTCTTTCTTTACATTAGTTGCATCTTTTTTTTTGCTGTTTACTTGTTTGTTATATAAATATTTCTACATCTATATACATAAATATATATATATATATATATATATATATATATATTAATTTTCAGTATTTTCACTATGTAAAAAAGTTTTCCTTCATCTTCATAGTAGCATCTGTAACTGGGGTTTGATTCAGGAGATAGGGTTGTTAAAGTCAAAGCCAAAAATTAAATTCCATCACCAAAATACCACCCACATGTTCAATATCATGCATTTGCAAAGTCTAATTTGAAAAATCTTGAAGACAGTTAAACATGGTGTCATCATCATCTTATCACATGCAGGCCAGGTTCAACTACCATTTTTTATATTTTATATTTTTTTTTTGTACTGTCCAGTTTTCATTTTCACCTCTATTTGTTTTAAAAGGAGTGTAAGCATAGACCAAGACATAAACAGAAGGACAGTGATATGACACAACTATTTATGTGGTATGACTTTTATACAAAGTGCAAAATCACCAACTTTCTGCTTTAGATGACCATTTTGGAAGCCAACTTTGGTGCAATCTCTGTAAAGCCTCCCTGTTATATGAACCATCCCCAAGCATTATATTGTCTTACCTCTAGTTTTGTTCTCCATAATGTAGTTTTTTTGGATTTTTGTGATAAATAATTTTAAGTGACATGTAACTTAAATATCCACACTTTGAAAATTGTTTCTTGTGCTTTGAACATACAAGATTATAAATTCATCATAATAAAATATGAAAGAGCAATGAAAATGATAAATAGAATCTATGAATTATTTGCAAACAATTAATTCCACATTGAACATGCACTAGATTTATTCAACCAAAGAAGAAGTGAATTCAACTACAATAATATGAATCTGATAAGCCTCTGGTTAAGGGGTACATGAGTGAGTTTTTGTGTTGTTTTTGTGTTGTTTTTTTGTTTTTTGCTTCACTTGTTTACTTATTATTGTTGCAGGTGTTTTTGAGATGTAAATCATCCTATTCTAGAATGCCATTCTGGACACCAGGATAGTGGTTAGGAGGGAGGCAGGAAGGAGGGCTTTGCCCCAAAGCCACATGGCACCACCATCACCATGTATAAACAAACAACACAGAGAGGAGTGCTGCTGCAGAAGGCAGACATGACAGAAAGTAATAAGGAGCAGAAGAAATAAGGAAAAGATATTTCAAAAGTGGGAAAGAAAGGAGGAAAGGAAAGAAAAAAGGAGAGGCAAAGCAGGGACAAATGCCCAGCTTTCATGACCCCAAAACCTTAAACCAGGGCCCAGCAGGAGGAGGCAGTGAGCAAACTTAGTCATGCAGATTTTGTTGGGGGGGGGGGGGTGTGTGTGAAGAAGTTCCAAGAAGCTGCTGTGGCTTAAATTCAAGATGGAGAAAGGGTGAGAGAGAGTGTGCCAATGGGAGTGGTGGATGGGGTGGGGGGTTCAGCATCGTGGGCATCATGATATTTCTGGCCCACCATATCTATTGGGGTCGATGCGATGCAGCCCAGGAAATCAGGGGTAGCAAATACTATATATAAATATATATATCTTGGAGGGGTGCCCCACATAAAATATAAGCCTGACGCAACGTAGCTGAGGGGATGAGTTCACAGCCACAGGGCCAGCGTATGGCGCAGTTTGCAGAGCAAGGGCAGTGGTTGCCAATCTACGGGTAATTTCCCCATCGGAGCCAGGAACTTCGGATAATCATTTTCATGGCTGCCCGCCATTCCAGGCGGATGACTTCCACTGCCTTTTCCTCTCCCCACCCAACCTCCCCTTCCAGCTGGCACTCCCCAACCCAACCCCCGTTCTAACCATGCTCCACCGAAACAACAATAATCCCTCCTCTTCCTGCGAAACTGCCCATTTATTGCCCCCGAATCTGACGTGGACGTACCCCCCCTCCTTTCTAATCGAGCCTTTGCTCACTCCCTGGCACTTGTCCACAGCGTTCATTCCACGTAGAACGTCGCAACGTCATTACCCGAGTGGAATTTACTGCACTTCTATTCTTTAATTGCCATCACAAAAGAGGGCAAAGATAGAAGTGGAACGCTCAGACTCTGATTTTTCGAGTGCACCATATTTTCAACATGGATACACCATCGACGCATTCAAATTTGAAGCATTCCATCTATCGACCCTTCCGTGAATGATTTTGAGTCCTCTCATCCCCCCTGAAGTAATCCCTGGAAGAAAAACGGGAGTAGAAAAGGATTCACCGGGAGAGGAGCACTAGGGAGAAGAAAACGAGAGGAGCCACAAGGGATATAATGGGAGGTGGATGATCATTTGTGGTGGATACTTGCAGATGCGCAATACAAGTGACAAATGTTGAACAGAGAGGGGGCGACCTGATGACCCCTCAGGAAAGATCCTGAGCCACAAAAAGGGGGGGTGGGTGTGCTCCAACCGCGAAGATCCTTCCCCTACTTTCTCATATCAATTTTGGCTGCATCCAGAGGGACTCGGAGCTCCCACTTGAAACGCCGAACATGGGCTCTCGCACATGAAGGAGATGCCGACATGATGGAAGTCAAGGGCTCATGTTCTTTGATCATAAGATTGCATGCAGCGGCACATCTCCGCGCCTGGTGCATGCACACCGCTCTCTCTCTCTCCCCCCCAACCCCTAATGTGGCGGTGGTGAGCCCTAGATACCCGCCTGAAGTGACCTTCTTTGGATACTCCACGTATCTCTCATTGGCATCGTAGCTTTCAGCGCACGTGGGCGATTTGCCCTAAAGACGTTCTCACCGGGAACGATCTGGACATTGCCCCTATGCTTTTGGAATCCCTTTCTGCCACTTACCCTTATCTGTTCCCTGTTCGTGTATCAATGAGAGTTTGTAAAGGTGCCCTGTAATCAGTTTTTCACGTCAAATAAAGAGAGTCATCCAGAGGGATGCTTCGACGCTTCCAGCTCAGACCATTGGCACGGAATTCTGTAGATATCATTATCGCAACACAGCCCTTCCGGTGGCCAACACCACCACAAGAGTTTCAATAAGATTTAATCAATGACTAGAACCAATGTTGAAATGCAGCTTTTGACTCAATGATCATCTTCTGCGTCCCTCTCTCACTCTCCCATTTTTATAATTTTTGAACGTTATCGAAAAGTAACTTCCAGTCTGTGTTTTGAGATGAGCTATAGAAATTTATTCACGATTCTCGTTTTTACGAATCAGACATGGTGATCGGCGATCGAATCTAGTTGCCACTAACGAACTGACCGTGATGTCTTTTCAAGCGCCCACCACCTTCAGCTTGTCAGGAGTAGTGGGGAGCGAAAGGAGCATTTTCCAATCAGAGCCACCAAATGAATGGCAGCAGCTACAACCTCATTTAATTTCGAAGAATGAGATTCGCGAGTGCATGGATGAGACACTCAGGGGGATCATCATGCTTTGATCGCATTATTCACTCTCCAAGTAGATGATAATCCCCCGAAAGAGTGCATGCGAAGACGGGAGCGTTTGTAAAGCCAGAAGTGGGGCACACAGGTGAAATGCGGGGTGGATGCGGAGCGGCATTGAGTTAGATGCCTGTGTATGTGCACTTTGCAGAGCAGTGGAGCGCAGAGAGGAGTTACCGTGGGGCTTCGGGAGGTCTTTTTCATCCACGGAGGGTTACATGGGAGAGCTTTATCATCTAACGGGGATGAAAAGCCAATCCACGTGGTAGGGAGATAGATGTTCAAGTGCTCAAGGGCTTCGATTCCTCTCAGCCCCTGTTCCTCCCTGGCTGCTGGGGTTGAGTGCACTCCCGGTTTAGGCTGATTTCCCGTTTGTGCCGAACTTGGCTGCGATCAGTTTGTCGGGTAAGCGTAAGCTAGAGGTTTGCTAGGGGGTTCCCAGAATTTTGGTTAGTCGGGGCTGTAGTAGAAGGGTCGTCTGTTTTGTGTAGTGAGCGATGCACTTGAGCTTGGTTAGGAAGTTGAGATTCGAGAGATACGTAGGCTAGTTACTCAGAAGCGGCAAAATTAGACGAGCTTGCTCTGTACAACCTGCTACGTTGCAATTGATTCCGTGTGTGATGGCTCCACTCCAGAAATTTTTGATTTTTTGTGATTCTTGTGAGCTGAGCAGTTGAAGATACTTAACCTGGATACAAGACTTCTTCGCATTTCCTCTTCCCCATCATCATTTGCAGTCGAACATTACTTTCGAGAGGATTCGTCGTCGTCGTATCTTTTGGTTGGCAACTCCAAGTTTTTTTGTGTCGTGGTCGGCTTCAAGTCGTTGACCAAGCTTGTTAGAGAGCATCTAGGAACTGCCGTCCTCACGATTCAAGTTTTGTTTTTTTCCCGGGTGGGTCTGCAGAAGACTAGTGAAAGCGGAGCCGTTGTATCGGGTGAGCGTTGGACAGATCTCTGGATGGGGATTTGGGTGCAGGTAGTGAAACGAGGAATGATTACTGACACTTGCAGTAAGGGTGAACCTTTCACCCTAGGCGGTGGGAGAAGTAGAATACATGGATGTGAATGAGGTATAGTGGGCGAAGACATCGGGGATGATCGGCAACCAGTTTCAGGTTTGAAGTTAGTCTCCCAGGTTTTCTATTCAATTGCAGAGCTTGACTTTTGCTTTGACCAATGGTACAAAGGAAAAAGTTGTTGCTCTCCTTAAGATTGGGTTAGAATTTGAGTGAGAGAACCGAACATAGAGGACTAAAATTATGATCCCGATGACATCCAGTTCTTCTGCTGGCTTCCGTGAGCACGAAGGCGCAGGCGAGGGGGGTAACTGTTGGCCATCTGTAGCGCCTGGCATTCCACTCTTCACCTCTGGTGATGAAGGCACAGGTACCAAGGTGCGGAAGCCCTATACGATAACTAAACAGCGAGAGAGGTGGACTGAGGAGGAACATCAAAGGTTTTTGGAGGCATTGAAGCTCTATGGACGAGCTTGGCGCAGGATTGAGGAACACATTGGCACGAAGACCGCTGTGCAGATCCGGTCTCACGCTCAGAAGTTCTTTTCCAGGAATAGAAAGGGGATGTCAGTGCAGGGCAAGGGGCCTTTTTCAGGGGTAGCACAGGTAATAGATATCCCTCCACCTCGTCCAAAGAGAAGCCTTCTCACCCATATCCTCGCAAAGCTGGCAAAATATCTGAGGACGAGTGCCTTTTAGCACCTTCAGGTTATATTTCTTCTTCTTCAGGAGGTGGTCCCGCAGCAACTGTTGCGGAGGTCTGTTTGAAGAACAGTGTGTGGGATCAGGTTGTTACTACAGGGGCTTTTCATCAGGATGCAGCCAAATCGTATAATGACGCGGATGCCACACATCCCTGGGGTATCCCAAAGACGGTTAATTCCACCACCGCGGGTTCACCACCGGCTCGGCCTGCCAATATGGCTTCAAATACAGGATTGTTACTTAACAACATTTCGCTAGGCCCAATTCCTGCTTTTCCAGCCGTGCCTCCATGGGGTCGGCTTTTTGGTGGAGCGATGAACCCGGCCATGATGAATCCGCAGGGTATGGTTATGCCCTGGGCCAGTGCGCCAAATGCTCAAGGTCTTGAGAATGGGGGCGCAGTCTCTGCTATGGCGGCCACAATCGCAGCTGCATCTACCTGGTGGGCTATGCATGGAGGTATGCCGCCTGGTGTGATGCATCCCGCTTTGGGTGTCATGTATGTAGGGGCTGCTCCTCCAGTTGCCATCTCTACTCCATACATATTCCCTCAGTGTTCACCTCAAGAGGTGACTTTGGCAGGAGTTCCATGTGCTGATGGCAAAGAAGATCTCACAGTACATGCTGTGAGTGAGGGCGAGAATATCCCAATTAACGGTAACTCAAGGTCAAGTGCCATGCGGAGAGCGGAGCGAGCCCAGCTGGTGAAGGAGCTGAAGGCTCGGCGAACGGGCTCAGGAATTAACTTCCTTTCTGTCTCGTCTGATATTTGTGGATCCACTTCAGGGGGGAGCGGAACGAATCTCACCACACAGTTAACAGCTGGCGGGTTGACATCAGATAGTGCTGTCAATTCTCTTTCCAAGGGGGGTTCTCTGGATGCGAGTAAAGTGAAGCATGGTCTACATAGCTTTGTTCGGAAAGACAGGGAAGTGCCTGCGGACGGCGGTTCTGCAGATGATGGTGATGATAAACGGAAGCGATTACGAGTAAGCAGACCCTCGGATGACACGATAATGCACGATAATGAGGGATATCCATCTACCACTAGTTTAGCTCGTGACGCTCCAGGGAGATTGAATGCTCACTTGGAGAAAGTTAGGTCCGTCAGCGGCTCCAGCACCCTTCCTGGGAAGTTCACCAAGGTTGGTGCTGAAAGGCTAGTTTATGATGAAGAGAACACTCCTACTGACGCCTCTTGTGGAAGTGATGTTAGTGAAGGTGCAGGAGTTGCTCCGACTGATGGTGATGGTAATGCATCAGGGGGAGGTCCAAGCTCCAACTCATCAGCGTGTGGGAATGCTCTTGGAGGTAATGATAGGTCAGGATCAAGTGATGGATCGTCAGAAGGGGAGGGCACCTGTAAGGTTAACAGGCAACGAGATACAGGGAAGAATGGAACGAGCTCTTCTGATCCTGAAGCACAACTCAAGACAGATGAGGAGGTTGGGAGAGCCACCGGACTTATCACTTTTAATGAGTTTCTTCCGGTTTGTAAAGATGGAGAAAAATTCGAAAAATTAGAGAGTTCATCGCGACTGCCAAGAACAGTGCCTATCGATGCAGAGCAGAGAAAGGAAGTCACTGAAAGAGGTCAGATTGCCTTTCAGGCTCTATTTAAGCTAGACACTCTACCTCGGACCTTTTCCCCGCCTCCAGGCCTAGTTCTTGGTACAGGATCGAAGGAGCCTACTAAAAAGGTGGCATCTGTGCATAACACGAATAAAAGCATGAGCGGTAGCGCGATTGTATACGATACCTCGGAATCATGGACTCCACGGCGAAATCGTAAAGACCAAGATAGTGCTTTTAATACATGGGAGCATTTAAGAGGTACTTCCAGCGCCTCAAAAGTTGACCGATGTGACAGTGGCATATCCATTCCATCTTCCAGACCGACAAAAAGCTTAGAGGATCTTCAATCTTCTGAGCGCCGTCGAGGCAATCGGAAGGTGCGGTCCCGTTCAATAGCCAACAATTGGCTCCAATTGTGGACGGACACATCGTCTCGTGACAGGGACGAGGATGCGGACGAAGAGGACGAGGACGACGAGAGTGCCCACTCGGGAGCAGATGAAGGTTGCAAAAAGCAACAACATGAAGAGAGCTTCGTTTGTAAGCTTGATGTGTCTATTTCAAATCAGGATACTGATCTAATCTCTAATATTAATGATCAGGACACAAGCAGCTTCGGTCTAAGTTCAACAGTTACAAGTCGAACATTATCCTTGTCCATAGGTGCTGGTGGTTTGAAGAACGCTGATTCGAGTGTGTCCGCAAGAACTGAGAAATATAGTGGAGTAGGATTTGTTCCATATCAAAGAGTTTCTATCCATGTGGAGGCTACTGTAGCGAAGCTTTGATGATTGATGGATAGTTTTTCCATCTTCATTTAGTTTAACACCTTATTTCTTTTCGTGACTTATAAAAGTCACATTTCACAACATTCTATTTGCGCTTGCACATGCGTGGTATCAGGTTTTATTTTTGACGAGGTTTAGGGTTTCACTCATTATTGTGCATTCCATCCATTTTGCACACCACTGCAAAATATCTGCCATCGCGAGCGAATGCTATGACATGTGGGCAATGTCTGCAGATTGGGTTCTGATCACCAAGTAGGAGACAGTAGGATTTCGGGATGGACGGTTGTCTCTTGCACCAATTGCAATATATCAATTACCGTCCCGTGTAGCATATTGGCTGATTTTGATAGCATAGGGGGAAGTGATAGTGACATGATAATTGGATGAGGTGTGTATTGATGCCGTTTTCTGCCAAATTCGATTATATACATTTAGACACTTGCTCTCGCGTGCAGGAGGCACGCTGTTGTCTTTTGTTGCAAATGGTAGATTGGCTGGAAAATTCCTCTGAATTGACGAATTCGATGTTGGGATTCAAAGGCACAGGATTGACACCTCGGTTTCTAATTATGGAGAGAGAGAGAGCTACCTTCCTTTCTGACGATGGGTCAACTCTTTGTCCAGCTTCTCCATGTTCTCCTTGCTCACAGATGTAATGGATATTGCAGTGAATCGACAGTTTCGCTTGATTAATGTAATTCCCTTTGAACTCCAAACGGCGACTATTTGTGTCAGAAGTAAAGTCGAACGCTGGAGGTTGCCACTTAGAAATTGCAGGAGCGATTCAGCGATTCAGCGCTGATCAATATTAAATTCAAGAAAGAGGTCTAGGCAATTGACACCTCTGTGACTATTCCAACACTTGATTCAGCAAACAGAATACATGAACAGAGGATGATCCGCGACATGAACTCCACAACAGGAGCTGATATATGAGTACAGTTTAGACACGTCGTGTTCGTGCCCATAACATAGAGAACTGGAGACTTATCAATCCTATGGTGAGCCTGCAGCAGAGATTGAGAGTGGTTATTAATTAATTAATTTTTATCTTTAAAAATGCATATGGGCAGGCGAGGTCTCGGATGGTGTATGAAAATTCTATGCACATGAAATACAAAAGAGAGTTATTTTTATTCATATGGTGATATCAATTTATACAATCTAGATGTGTTGGAGGATTCTTCTCATGCATTCTATTTTGACAATGTGTTTGAAGTAAGCTTCATCTTCAAATGTGTCTATTGATACCCTTATTGTGTTGTTTCTATGTAGATATCAAGTTCATCCATATATTTAAGGATTTCAGGCAGGTATCAACTTAGTAAGGGGAAAAAATCCTAGGCATTTTATTTTTGCCAATACCCCCTCTTGCTTAGGATTTCCTCCTTTTTATGATTTCATGTGAAAAATTGTGCTCCAATGTTGTTCTTTTCATGTATGTGCTTAGCAAGCAAGTCAATCATTTCTTGCTGATAAGTTCCCTTTATTCTTTGTTTTTTCTTTTTTTGTTGTTGAAGTTTCTTGATGTTTTGAATAACTTATACTCATATTGTTTCAACATGAAGTATTTTTGCTAGGTGTATGGTTTTTGGTCACATCTTTAAAGAGTTGTTATGATTTTATAATCACATATACTTATTACTTGCTATTCAAGTCTTTAAACCAACTTAAGAACCCTTATCTTAATAATGAGCAAAGTTCATCTTAAAGTATAGATTTTGATACTAATTTTTATTGTGAAACTTTTATAAGTCTTATTTCTAATGTATTACTTCCACAATTAAGAATTGATATGAATTTTGTAAAAAGATAGATATTAGGTAGACTATTGAGAATTAATAATCATTTTCTTTTTATAAAATTATAAGTTTTAAATAAGGTCTAGAGGAAGGAGATAGAATCTATTAATTATTGGAGCATCCTGATGTTTGTAAAGGTCAACATGCTTAGCTATGAATAATATGTCATGGTCAAAGGTATAAGTCCTAAGCATTTATAATATAGGTTTAGGAATAAATATAATTTATTTATGATAGTATACATATATATATATATATATATATATATATAAGAGCTTATTAATTAAGATTTTTATTTATACATATAGGTTACAATTCTAATATGCGACTAGTATAGAATTAAGAAAGAAGATTAGTTGATCCTATCTCCTATATTAACTTGACATATGAAATTTCCTAGACTAGTTTAATTAGTATATTTTTAATTTTTTTTTCTTTCTAAATATATAAAACTTTAATTTTTTAAAGTTGAGTCTTTTCTTAGAGAAAAAAAATGCATTTCAATGTGTAAGTCACTAAATGACTCACTTGTGTATTAAGTATAAAAATTACAATTATTGTGCTTAAAATTACAATTTATGGTAAGTAGTATATGAATTCTTGAACAAAGAGATTAAAATGATAGCTATAGAAATAGGTTTTGTAGTCTTTAATTGTTGTTATTAGGATAGAAAGTTAAGTTAGCATCTTTGATCCAAAACAACCTAAAAAGAAAAAAGAAGAAAGAAAAAAAAAAAACCTTGATATTTTTATACAAATAAAATAAAATAAAAATAATAGAATAGAAAAGAAAAAAAAATTAAGAGTAGGAACAAAGAAGAAAAGAAATAAGAAGTATTAAGAAAAGAAAGAAAAAACATAAAAGATGAATATGAAAATTAAAAAAAAAGAAAAAAAAAGAAAAAAAAAGATGAGAGTGAAAAGAAAAAAATAAAAAAAACATAAGATAAAAGAAAAAAAAAACCTTAAATCCATAAGAGAGTTGGAAGAGACTCAAAATCTTTCACAACCTTTTGTCAATCAAGCCTTTCTTTTAGAATTAAATTTAATAACTTTTGTACAAAATCAATCAAAGATAATATATATATATATATATATATATATATATATATATATATATATAATACCAACTTTTTTAATAATGACTAGATCTAGAGTTGCATCTTTATTTACCTATAAAAAAGAAGTGATTAGTATCTCAAATAGTCTACTTTGCTTCTCAAATTTAGAATGAATCACAAGTGATACAATTAAAATAACTCGTAATAATGTTGCCAAATTTGTAAAGTTTGATCCTTTGATAGAAGAATTATTATCTTAATAAGTTGAAGATTAATATAAATTATACTCTTGTAGTTTTGGAATAATATCTCAATATTAGGGTATGGAATAATATCTCAATATTAGAATTGTGGCAAAAATAGATGCCTATACTAAACAAAGTGAAGTGAAAGCATTAAAAATTGAAGTTTCTATTATAGACTAAATAATTTCTCATACCATTGTAAATAGTGGAAGCAATTTGAACATTATATCTTTCTAAATCATAAAAGAATTAGAATTGAATGTTACTAGACCATCTTTTTTTGTTATCAAGATGATAAATCAAAGTCCATCTATATCAATAAGCTAGATAAAAAAAATTATAAAACTTGGATTGAAAAAGAGAAATATACCTTGATATATCATATCATTTGAATGCATATGTCAAAGGATTCTTTTCCTTTGCTATTAGATAGGCCATAGTTGAAGGATTTTGAAGCCTTATTTAATTAAGGAGGAGAAAAGTCCCACATCACCTTTGGTCTTTGGAAGAATCAAACCAAAATCTCTATTCAATCTATCCTAAATCATGAAAAAAAAAATTCTATTTATTCTTTAAAATATAAGATATAATCTAAAGCAAAAATTAAATCAATAAATGTGATTAATTTCATTGATCAAGATTAAAAAAATAGAATGTCTAGGTTCCAACCTTTATCATTAGTAAGATGATGAGAAATTTTAACAATGGCTAGATGATCATCCAAACTCCAATTTTGATTATTTCAAATTGATTAATTTTTAAAAAAGGATTTTGAAGATTACAAAAGTCGAGGAAATTCAAGTCCTTAGTATTAATATAGATGGAATCTTAGAAGAAGAGAATAAAGTCCTTAAAAGTAATGATAACTTAATTCCATACCTTTTATTTCAAAATACTTTATTGAGAATTATGGTTGGCAATAGAGTTGGCAACTATCTTCTTTTATCTGGTAATTAGTACAAGAATCCGAATAGAAAGTTATAGATATATCACATAAAAGAGAAGAGTTCAAAAACATTAAAATTAGAGATCATTTAAATCAAGAAGCGGTTTTTAAATATTATAATTTGATCATAAAATATCAAGATATTTTAACCTAATCATACAAAGAGTTGAAGCATATACCACTTGAAGTAGCAACACCACATCTTCTTTATTCTTGATTCCAAGGCAATTAGACTAATGAAAAGGCATATGAACTCTTAACTCCAATTGATTGTTAAAGAAAAATTAAAAAAATTGTTATAAGCTGGTTTTATTAAATCATTAGAAATAATAGATTGAGTCTTTTTTATGGTTCTTGTGAAGAAAATGGTAAATAAAAAATATTCATAGATTATAGAAAACTCAACAAACACTTTCAAAAGGACCATTTTCCTCTTCCTTTCATCAATAGTATTTTAGATGAAGTTATGGATCACAAAACCTATACTTTTATAGATGGATATTTAATGTATAATCAAATTATCATAGCACATAAAGATTATCATAAAAAAACTTTTGTCACTTTTTGAAGCACATTTATTTTTTTAATCATTCTTTTTGAACTTTATAATGCCTCTTTTGCCTTTGAAAGAACTATGATCTTTGTTTTATTGAATTTCTTACATAAATCTATGACAATATTCATAGATGATTTTAGTACCCAATCAAATGCTAAAGACCATGTAGATCATGTAGAAGAGACCTTAAAAAGATATAAGAAAATAAAAATTACTTTAAATATCAAAAAAATATATTTAGTGGTATAAAAGGGGGTCTTATTGGATTATATAGAATCCAAAGAGAAAAGAGAACATGTTCTCAGGATATCTTGAATAGTATCAAGAATTAATTTCCAATTATGCCACAAAAATCTTATCCATTATGAACCTTAAAAAGAAGTTGGTCAAGTTTGAGTAGAAAAAAGAATGTCAAAAAGACTTTAATTGAATAAAAGTAATATTAAGTTCCTACCAAATATTGAAACCATTTAAT